AAGATAATTATAAGACAAAATTAAAAAAAAATTAATGAGAAGTTTGGCATTGCTTTTTTGCAACAAAATGGTCTTTATTAGTAGATTAGATGACACAGCAGCTGGCAAGCAGCTTTCCAATCCTACATCATTTAACCTCCATCAGTTGTCGCTTTTAATTATTTTCACTGCAGAAAATAATTCTTTGCAGATACAAGTACTTCTAGAAAGTGTCATGATTTGCATCAGCTGCATGACTAACCATGAACATTTTCCCAAAATCATGTAATTTTGATGAAACTTTTGGATGTCCACATTATGAAATTTATTTCTCAAAAAATCAGGGTTACTTTGTATTTCTATCATTTACTTTAGCACCTCAAATGGAACTGTTTCCACATCTTTACTGAATTGCAAGGGAAAAACATTAAAACTAAGAACATTTTTTTTTTATCTAAATATTTTAAACTGCAAACTTTTTTTTTTTTTTTCGTATTTGCTAGGCATATTTTCGTGTTTCTGAAGTAGTTCCCCCCCCCTTAAGTACAGACAATGTGCCATGCTGTTTGACAATACATGTTTGTACCAAATTTTGAGTTTAACACTAAATAAATGAAAAAAAAAGTTCTATGATTTGTGAAAAACTTTTAGTTAAACTTGTAGAACTATCATGAAACAAGCAACTATTATGATTGCGAACAACTGTCAGTACACACAAGGATGTCAATTATAACAGGAAACTTTCTGCTAATATGTTTACAATCTGTCACTTTGTTGGTCATTATAATAAGTGGTAGAGATTAATATTTAAAGTAAGTGACTCAAGATTATCATTCCACCAAAGTCACATTGAAATGGAGATGATTACAATCTTGAATCCACTTCCTTATTTTCCAAGAACTTTTCATTTCTACATCTAAATGATAAAATAACACTAGATTTATGAGCCTTGCCATTTTGACAGATTTCGGACTTCATGAGCAAGATTGCAAAAACCATTATTTTTAGTTTTCTAATTTATGCTGATAATTATTGATGTAATGAGAGGAATACATACCCAAATTTATTTCCCATTCAGCACTTTAATTTCAGAGTTCTATGTGATGTATACCTATCTCTATGGATACCCTTCAAAATGATGGGTAAGCTAGTTTCATAGTTAATCGTAATAATTTTTTTTTCAAAGTTATTTTCCTGGTGACAAATGTAAAAGTAGTTAGAATATAGATACTAAATTAAAATCATAATTCAATAGAAATATCTTTTGATAACTTCAAACCCAATATCAGAGCATCACTGTTCGCAACAACAAGGGATATGTCAGGCGTGATTATTTGTCAATCCCATGTGCCTAAAGTACTAGGTTCAAGACTAAGAAACGGTATGCAGTCACCGAGTTCCAATCAGTGTGTTATAAGGTTTCAAATAAAGTTTCAGTTAGTGTGAGCAAAGAAGATCGAGAAGGAAGTACGAGATTATTTTGAGTATTAATAATATCATTATAGAATTACCAGGAAAGCACTAGTTTTACTTTATTCTGATGAAATATGCTTCTTTAATCATCATGAGTACTTTAAGAAGAGATAGTAATTTTCTAAAATGGATAGTTAGTATAAGTGAAGATTACTTTGGGACAAGCTCTGTTAACACCAAAACTGCTATAACTTTTTTTCACTTATAAACTAGAAACACTTACAATCTGTTGTTAAGATTTTAAGTGTTTTTATATTAATCTTTTTCTAAGGAAATACATAGCTTCCTATAACCCTCAATTTTGACGGATGGCAGTAAATATAGGTACACAAAACTGTCCAAACACCTAGTCATAATAATCAAAATTTAAAAGTGAAATAATTGCAAACCTTATAATGCAAAAAATAATGAAAAAAAATGGTGAAGCCACAAATCATATACAAATAAAAAGATAGCAATACGTCCTGCAGCTGCTACAGAAATTTTAAGTTATTACCACAAAGGAAAATGATTGATATTGAAATAAATTCTTCTAAATAAAAATTATTAGAAAAGTGTCAAAAATTAAATAGACAAAAGAATTCTGAAATTCTGTAACAAAACATTCAGGAAAATTTTCCCTGTACACTGATGAATGCACTATTAAAACTGCAAGTGTTTTATTTTAGATGCAACTCAATGATTTTGGGTTGTGAAAGTGCTAAATATAACATTACTGAATGTTTTTTCAGAAAAATTATTACATAATGAGCTTTTAAATATAATAACAATAAAATTAATAAACAGGTAGCTTAATAAATTTAGCTTTCCCCACAAATTAAAACTACAATTGATACTGATGCAAAGTAAATTGGAGGTTTATTAATTACTGCTACTATCCCCTTTGATAATATTAAGAGTTAAAGAACTGCAAGTTTGCTATGAAATCTTATGAACCACATGCCAAATTTACATTAAAATGAACTATCATCCCAATACTTAATTACAGTAACTTTATCATACAGAAAACTAAAAGTGATTAGAGATAAAAGAGGAGGATAAAGAAATTAAGTTTATTTACTTAAAGAAAAAAGTTGTTCATTAAGACATATTTCAAATGACAAAGACAAACTTTCTTTTAAATCATGAAACCTTAACAACACCCAAGAAGAATAGTCAGAAAAGAAATGGAGCCTGGAGGACCATTCCCCTAATTAATCCCCAGGGGCAGGGTGCCCGGCTATACCCTCGGATGCTGGGTACCCTGCCTTTTACGACATTCATGAGCTACATTGGGACTATTCTTTCACACCCGGTCACCAAATGGGTGGCCAATATGCAATAGTATAAACATTTATAAACAAACACCTATTTAATGAATCCTGCCTTCACTCAAATGTGAAAAATTTCTTTGCCAGCACAAACAAGTAAATAAATAAAATAAGATTAAAATATGTAAATAAAAATGGAAGGAAAAGAATACACTTAAATGCGGGAATAAAACTAGAAGATGAAGCTAGCATTTTGACAAGCTTCAAAATACAAACTGATATCTTAATTCAAAACGAAAATAAAATGGTTTAAAAGAGGATTTTTTTTCCCCTATTTTTTATGGCCTTCCATGCAGTTTTCAAAGTACCTACCTTTGCATACTTTCATTAAGGGCTATACTGGATAATGATTCAGAGTTTCACTTCTAAATACCACTTTAAGGGATTTAAGTATCTCTGACTGCTTCTTACATTCAGTCATACTCATCGAAGACATTTTATATAAACTTCTTAAGCTTTCAGAAAACATTTATGACATATTTATTATTTCTCTGCCAAAATATGCTTACCTTCCCCATAAATGTTAATTTTTCATTTGTATTCTTTGCATGCAGCAAAAATTCACAAAACTTCTCTGAAAGGTTGCGTAAAATGTATAAAAAAAGAACAGCTTTAAGCATTTATTAAAATCTTTACGAAATTAGCCACTGAAATGGTAAAGTAATTAATCATCATCTTTCTGGGAATTTAAAATAATGTTAACTAATATGAACAATTTTGAAGACATCTAAACTAAGTGCTCTTCATCACAGTAATGAAAATGTTCTGCAACTCAAGAGTTATTCAATATTTGATGCAAGTGGATATCTCATTAAAAGAATACTATGAAAATAAGCAAACAATTTCTGTGTTATAGTTACAGACTTAAAAACAACATTCTATCCATCTGAATTTTTTCCTTGAAACCAAATTTGTCTACTTGGCAACATAAATTTTCAAACTGAAGCTTGAACCTTTATCTTCTTTACGGTAATTTCATTCATGGCATACGGATTTTGCAAGTATTTTATCTACAGTGAAAATCATTCCTGAATAGTAGAAAATAAATATCTAATTACTGAGCTAGAAATACTTTAGTTATTACTATTTCTGAAAATAACATGAACAAAATATTAATACTATATAGCATTGTTACATAAACCATCTTCACTGAGAGGCAAATTCAGAACCTTTAATTAATACACAGCAATAAAACTTTTCCATATTTGGGCTCCAAATAGTTAATGCATGGATTTAATTCAAAAAGCATATTTCTTTGGCAGTATGAAAGCAAAATTAAAAAATAATAAAAATTGAAAACTCAACATCATATTTGGCTCAATACAATTTAAATATGTTTTTACAAAGCCATATTTTGAAATTTTTTATTGACCCACTTATAAAAATACATAACATCTTCATAGTTAACCACTTGCGCTACGACTAAACTTCATGGTTGCGGTGCCATGAGCTACAATATAAGAAGCGATAAAATGTCGCAACTACGCAGCTCTGCGTCTGCGAGTGCAATCCAGAGCTGTAACTCGAGAAATAAACAATCTCATTGTTAAGCTACGTGTGCATCATGTTATTTTAATTTTTGCGATAAATGCCCATCGGCGTGGTGTTCACGTCACCCACAGTTTGAGACAAATGCATCTCAACATGCATGGCACGCCTTTTTAGCGCAAGTGGTTAATATTAATAAACAGGTGAAATAGATAAGTTTCAAAACAAATTTTAATAAGAAGAAAACATTAAGCCTGTGGCTAGGCATAGCTACTTTTATCTGGTCGTGAGATTTGTTGTTATATGGCATACATTTTGCAATTTGAAATCTTATGTTTTCCTATTCCCTTTAATGTAATACTTTAAAAATGAAGTACTCTAAAAGTGAAATTTTTGAAAACAAAGCATAAAATATGAAGTTATACAAATTAGCTAATAAATGCTAAATATAACACTTCAGAAGGCAATCCAAATAGCCCTGTCGCACAAAATGTTAAAAAGTGCTGAAATTTGATATATTAACTGACAAAATGAAAAAAATGAATAAAAAGCTAAACAAATGCTTTGCACTATCAGTTTTCTACAGCAAATCCAGAATAAGTAAATTCATTCAGATACAAAGAAAATTTATCCTTCATAATTTCTTATGCATTTTGTACCTTAACTTAAATTCAGAATTAATATTATGGATTAAGAAAATTAAATTCAAAATTAATATTCTGCATAATAATCAGTAAATTGAAATATTACCAAAACAGAAGTTTCATCATCAGGAGCAGAAGAATATATAGTGTTGGAAGTAAACCTTCCAGTAGATACAAAACATGATAAACTCTCATATAAAAATTCAGCAATGCATTTTAGGAAATCGGCCTCACAGTCACAAAAACTGGAAAGAAAAAAAAAATTATATTGTAAAATCCCACATTTCCAGGGGGCAGAACATAAGTATATCCAACAATAAATATATCAGAAAAATCACAGCTATGAAATTACACTATCTCCTCAAAATTGTCCAGATTGAAGCATGGTAATTAAAACATTGAAATAAAGCAATTTTAATTTACACATAAATTTTTCAAAGTGCCCTTAAGGAATATTTTTTATACAACTGCTATTCAAATCTAAAACTATATACATAAAGGGGCATTTAATAACATGAAGACGAATATTTTTCAGACAAATGCACTAAATTTGCTAATAATTTTTATAATTATGAAATTTTTATTTAACAGGTAAGAAAGCTGTTTCTATGAAGCCATTTTCACAGTTGTCAAGTCTCCTGATTTAGGCAGGTGCCTCCCGAATTCTGTCCATACTCCTGCCAGCCGGATTTTCGACATATTTCTCCTAACTTTCTCTTATTCTTAAAATTTCTCATGATTTTTATGTTGCTTGGCTTAATACCTTGTTACTTTAATCCCACAAAAGTTATTTTTGGTGTTTGAAAATGCTTGTTTCTTTTTCTTTATATGGATATAAAAAAACAAAGTCATTTTGGCATGTTTCTGCTTTGCGTACGAGTCTGAAACCAGTGGAGTAGTGAGCATAACTGGTGCCTTTTTGGCGACCCCCAGCCCTCGAAAAAATATCGTGATTTGAAAATCTTGTTTAAGAGACCATTTGGCACCCCTCTGCAAACAGCGCCCAGAGGTCAGAAACACGTGTCTGAAAATGTCATGTTCCAGTTCTCCAATGAGAATCAAGTGCCACTGTGGGATATCTGGCGTATATTAGCCAATGAGCACAAAGCAACATTGAGGTAATTTATTTTGTTCAAGTTTATTGTGCTTCCCAGAAACAGTTTCAGACACTGCAATTTTTTGTCTTAGTTATGTCTGCGAAAAATGTAAAATATTCATGTACTTTTCAAAAACTGTATACACTCATGACTCCTTCCATTATTTCATCAAGGAAATGTAATATTGCAATTTGCATCATTTGTCATTGCAATTTTTTGATTTCGCACGGTGGAAAGGCTAATGTTCTTAAACGTGTGTACACAAGGACAATATGAGTTGTACAGAGAAAAAAAAAACTTTTTTTTTCTGTGTAAATAAAAGACCAAAATGTTATTAATACAGAATGCCTGTTCTCAGCCTTTTTACTGGTGCACAATATGCCATTGAATTCATGGGATCATGCTGCAACTTTTTTAGAACAATATTTCCCAGCAGTAAAACCACAAAGAAGTACTGAAATGCAAGGCCAAAAATTGCTGCAATTGTAGAAGAAATGAGTTCAAGAAATTGGTATGAAAAACAAATATTCAATTATTATTTGCATTAAAATACTTCCATTCTGTCTCTCTACGAATGGAAGCAATAATACTGATGCAAAACTGTATCCAATGCTGTTTAATTTTTTTAATCCAGAATCTTCCGAAATTGAGTGTACTTCACTTTCTGTCGCCTTTTTAGAAGGAGATTTGACAGGCCTTTAGTATATAGAACAGCTAATTATTAAAACTTTAAAAGAGAGTGCAATTCTACAAGTTAGCACTTAGTGCCAACAATGCACCAGGTGCATGCTTGAAGGTTGATGTTGCAGGTATTTAAAGAAAAGAAAATTCATATTTGCAAATTATGGAATGCATCTGTCACCTTTTAAATTTAGCACTGAAGGGTCAGGTTCTTTGCAATAAGTGTGGATGTATTGTTGATATTTATTATTATCTTGAAAAGGTTGCTAAAAGCAAGGACAAATTTAAACAATTCCAACTGCATAATACTGAAAATCTGAAAAATCTAAAATATGTATGTACACACTGGTTACCTTTACAAAAATGTTCATCTAGAACCCTCGACCACTTCTTGCATTTTTTAAGAAAGAAGTAAATGCTTCTAGAGTTAAAATGAAAGGTTCTGTTGAAAGATAATAAAATACTTTAGGTAAATGCAGATGTATTAATTACCTGCACTGCTAAAAATAGCTGTGAGAAAAACTAAATAATTTATGCAACTGTCGGCATTCTCAGAGTCATAAGTCTATAAAATATAAATCTAAAACTCCCATAAAATAATTTTAAAAAAATCGCTTGACAAGGGACATTTCTGGATGGTCAGACACCAGAGTAGTTGGGCCAACTGCAACTTTCTGCTGCTTGTAATGCCAATTTCAAATATCTTGTTTTAAATGTCTAGTTTTTAACACACTTTTCAAAGAATATGCTTTCAAGTTCTTGAGAGAATTATGAAATCCAATGGAATAATTTTAAGAAAAATAACTCAGATGATAATTTAAAATCTATAAGTTAATATAGTAATCAAATTATTTAAAATTATCATGTTTATTGAGAGCACTAATGAGAAATGATTGATATGTTTATTGAGAGCATAAATGAGAAATGATTGATAAGTTTTACACAACAATTTAAAGTATCAGACTGTCGCAAGAAAATGATAGATTTTGAATTTTGCATAAAATCTATAAACTTAATTTTTGCTTTTTTACCTCATTTAAAAATATAGTGAATTCTTAGTTTTAAACAGTTGGTGATCAGTAAACCACCTGTTTAAGAAAATTTCGAAAACTATTACTACTTTGATATCTGTTACATGCTACATTCTCTTGATAAAGCATTCACCTTATAATGACACCAATGTGAAAATGCTAACTTAGATGATTAATTTCCAGTATCTGTTCTTTCTGCACATAGCAGGTTCCTTAGTAAATTATTAATTTATTAATTCTCTATAAGAAACCAACACAGAAGTAAAGGATAATTCTGATTGTTGCCGAAAGTGGTCTTGCTTGGAGGTGTGCGTAGCGATTCATTTCTTATGGGCAAAGAATATGTCCACATCTAAAATTCACAATTAAGCCTTACTTCAAAAATAAAGTCATATTTCAGTAGTAAAGTAATTGCTAACATGTGATTTGCATTGATTTAGGAAATATGATTTTTAAAGTATATAAAATGCATAACTTAATAACTTACTTTATAGATTAGTTTCATTTTTAAATATTTTGCTATAACATTTATAAAAAATATTTTAAGTATTAATTATTTTAACAAAATTTTAAACAATTATTCAGGATGTATTTTTAGTATTAATTAAATTTAATAAATCAAAAGTATTTACATTAAATTTACATTTCATTACATGAACCTACATTAGATTAATATATTTAGATGTAATAAAGTAATGAAACATTGCAGTTCTTATGCGGAGTAATCTTATGCGGACTTCAGATTCTTGAAAGGGCAGATTTAGTATCTTTTCATTCTAAAAGTAATGCTGAACTAAGAAAAAATGCTAAAATGACCATGTCTAAAACCGGTCATATCATTACGTTTCAGAGATGTCGACAAATTGGCAAGATGCAACAGCAAATATTTTGTGTCTTTGCAATGTTGTAAAGATGTCGTAAAAGTTACCACAACCACTTTGCAACGTTGTGTGCTACTTGGGTTGTGATATTCCAAGGTTTGTACCTGATGGGTGCTACATGCTATTAACCACTTCCCAGTTTTGCCCGAACGCCATTCGGGTACTTGGAAATGGCGGTTTGTGCCTGATGGGTGCCACATGCTATTAACCACTTCCCAGTTTTGCCCAAACGCCGTTCGGGTACTTGGAAATGGCACTTTCTTTATTTTCCAAGGTTTGTGCCTGATGGGTGCCACATGCTATTAACCACTTCCCAGTTTTGCCCGAACGCAAGTAAAGGCGCGAAATATCTTTTTCACGAGTTTGGTGTTCCGGCTACTGCGAATACTATTTCTTTTAAATTTGGAGCTAAAATAAAAGAAGAAATGAGTTATAATGAGCAGCTTATAACTGAAGATAACTCTGAAATTTCACTAAATGATTCTGGAAGTAATGACAGTTTGTTGTCTGACTTCTCTAGTGATGAAAAAACGGAAAGTATAGATAATCTAATGCAAATTCAGAACTTTTGTGAACTTGATATTAATAATCCTTACTTTCTTGATGTTAATAATTCTTCTTTGGAATCGTACAGATATGTAATAACAATAAAACATTTTAAATCCTGACATCTATTTTCGTAAAGTGTTCTTTCCAGTTCGCTTACTTGTTCAAAAAAAGCCAACTTTAAGGAAAAACGTGCTTTTTACGATGGAAATAAAAATTAGCATAAATCAATAAATTCAACACTTGTAATAGTTCTGACTGCTGATTTGGGTTTATATAACAAATTTCTTCATAAAAATGCTTATAAAAAATTAAAGCTAACTGAGGAATTTAAAACTGCGATGATGCTAGTGAAGTTTGCGGATGATGAAAATTAAAGATTATTTCTGTGCATCTTAGTTGTATGTTTTCATTATTACAATCATGATAACGGCCATCCATTATTGCAACATTTGTCACTGGTTCTTATGGATGTGAGATTTATGTAATTTGAGTTTTTCACCTGCTCGATTTTATGTTTCAGTTACTTTTTGGATATGATTCGAAACAACTTAGCCGTTCTACAAGGGGTAGGGTTCTCGTTAACCCAAGTACCCTGGTGCTAGACCGTTCCACTGGAGGTTTTTATAAAAAATATTCTTATTTTTTGTCATAATATGACGAAGAAAAGAAACTGTTAAGTGGCTAATATGCAATGGAATGCACACTATGGGAATTCCATCTCAGGGAAAGATGAGTTTGTAGATGATCTGTTGAGCAACGTGATCAATAGCATATTAAAGCTTAACATGCAATTTGTGAATTTGAACATAATGCAAAATCATCTGAATAACAGAACAAATCCAGAATATTTACCTGACACTGCAATGAGAGACAGCTTGTAACTGTTTAGATATTAAAAGCACTTTTCCAGTGAGATGCTACAGAAATTTTTTAATAATATGCAGCAAAAACTTTTTGATAAGATAGTCTGGTATGTAACCTACTTGTCACGAATGCAGGTCTTTTG